TCTGTGATTGGGAGTTGATTGATTATGCAAGTATATTGAATTGTTGATTAAGTGATTGAATCATATCAACTTCATTATCTATTGTAGTATCTAGGATTTATGGATTGATGGTGGTTCTTAGCCTTGAAGGGGAAGTTATGATCAAATTACATATTGAAGTAGAACTGTGCTTGATCTATAGATCCACTTGAAAAGTGAAGGTGTTTACTTACTATGCATATTGTGGTACTGAATTGATGGATATATTCATTGTACCTCTATATATGAAGGATCTATGTATGATCATAATGTAAAGTATATGTGTGTGATTTCAACGAATGTATAATGATCATGTTTAGAATGAAATTGTGTTATTGATAGAAAGAATATTCTCAATTAACACTCATGAATGATGATGATGGAATGTGAAGGGCTTTGTTCTATGAATTGTATATCTTGAATTGGTAGGCTTAGGCATCCTTTTCTTGTATAAATGGAAGTAATGTGAATTAATGTATCTTGAATTGGTAGGTTTAGACATCCTCTTCTTGTATAATGAATATATGTTGACTTAATATCTTAATGTCTTGAATTGGTAAACCTAATGTTGGTAGTCTTTCATGAATGAATGAATAAACGGTAAAGTATTCTAGGCTACACCTTGGAAAGGTAGACCTAATGGGGGTGACCCTGTATCTATTAATATTAAATATTTTCGTTGTTCCATTATTCCCGTTATGTAGTAATGATGTGGTTTTATTTCGTCTTCCATTGATTTTTGTGGGGTTTTCTCTATTCTTCTTGAGGTACTCATTTTTTATGAAAGTTGGGGTATTTCATTGTTTATTCTTTTTGATGTGCTTAGTCTTTCTTTTACTATTTCTAAATCTTCTTCTATATCAATTTCATTATAAATATAATCATTTTTATCTATGACTGTAACTATCCTTTCAAAGGGATCTTCTATTTTTATTTTATCTATTTTATTTTTTGCTGTTATTTTATGTTTTGTTGTTAGAACATATAAGTTTTTACATCTAGCTGTAAATATTTTACTTCCTGGGGCTAGTTCTATCCCTGACATTCACCAGTATAATACTAGTGATTTATCTATATTTCTGTCATTTATTGCTACTGAGTAGTTAGCACTTATTATAAACTTAAATTTTTGGTATATGAGGTTACCTCTTACTGCACTTATTATACTTTTTTCTATGGGTTGTATAATTCTATCATCCGCTAAATATATTTCTATGGGTGTATCTATTCCTTCTCTAAAACATGCTTTTATTAATATTTCTATTCCTCCTAAATGTATATATTTAATTGGATTTTTAGCCTTAATATCTTGTATTTCTTTATTTATTATTCGTTTATTTATTATTGGTATTTTGGCCTTTCCTTTAGTGTATTTGCAATCTATGATATGCTCTCTCTGACTTACTACATAATATTCTTCTTTTTGTCGTTTAAACCATTTTCTTATTGTTGGTATTTCGAATATTTTTGCTACGCTTAGGTCTAATTCTTTTGCTTTTATTCGTTCAAATATACTATTATCAAATATTATTTTCTATTCTAAAGATTCTTCGTCTTGATGTTCTTCTTTATTTATTATTTGTATGTCTGCTTTAGTCATTTGTTATATTATAAAATTCATTATCTGATTCTATTTTTGTGTCATTATCTATTTCATTTTCTGATATTTCATAAATGCTATCTTCACTTTCTAATTCATAATCTATGTATTCTATCTGCGTATATTTTTCATCGTCTATTATTTTTTCTGATATTTGTTTTTTCTTTGGATTTTTAGGTAATTTACAATCTCTAGCTATATGTCCTAATTTTCCACAATTATAACAAGTACATTCCGTTAGTTTTCTTTTTGGTCTATATGGTCTTTTGGTTTTGTAATTTTTTACATAGTACCTTCTTCTTGGTTTTTATATTTATATTTTAATCAGTATTTTTTATTATATTTCTTTTTTTTTTATAATACCTATCCGTACAACCAAATTGAGCTGATGTCTTATTTTTGCAACATGCCAAGTTTTTTACTAATATTTTTTCCATTTTTATTTCTTCTTTATGTTTTTCACATAGTTCCATAAACCATCGTTGTAAGAATTTTATTCTAGCTCCTAAGGTATCTGTTAATTCTACTTCATTCCAACTTTTTATTACTTTTGAATTAAAAGGTTCTGGTAATTTTGTAAAATATAATTTTCTTATTTCTTTACTTTCTTCTATGCTATATGTTCCTTTATAATAGTATTCTCTGAATGCACATGTATATTCATCTATGTAACACATATTACATATTGCTAATTTTGTCATTAGATTCCGATTTATGATTTTTTCTTTATTTTGTTCTTCTACCTCTGTTGTCATACTCCTAAATTCATTTTTTATAGCTATTTCTATTTATATAATATTTCCATGGTTGTAGTGACTATTTCACCATCAAATTTTTTAATTATTTCTTAAAGTTGTTAAGCTTTCACTTGTTAAATTTTGTAGCCATAATTTTACTGTTCCTATAAGTGTTCTTTCTATGTATCCTGGTCCCTCTGCTATTACTATCTTGTTATCTATTAATTGTTTTGATAGATATCCTATCCATAATTGGATTGTTTTATTTATATCTGTTACACAGTCTAAATCTAAAAAATCATGTTGTCCAGTTATTGGTTTAGGCGTCCATTTTCTACTTAATCTTTTATCCATGTAGTTTTTTCTTTATCATATTGTTCATAATTTTCATTATAATATTTTAGATTAAAATTTTTTGGGTTTTTTACTCCTGATGTGCTAGGTTTTTCGTCCATATCTATTTCTCCTGTATTTATTTCTAAATTATTTGTATTATCTATGTTTGCTAAAAGTTCCGTATATGTTTCGCTTGTTTCTGAATGTTGTTCTAGATCATCGTCGTTTATTTCATCAACTCTTATTTCGGGTAGATTATCTTGGTTATTTTCTTCTTTTTCTTCTAATTCATCTTCTAGTTGCAATTTTTCTTTAAATTTAATTATCTCATTTGCTAATTTTGTTTTTTGTTCTTTTTCTTTTTGTTTAATTTCATACATTTCTTTTAATATTGCTAGCTCTTTTTCTAGCTCTATTATTTTAGTATTTTTTACTTCTTCTAATTGTTGTACTTCCTTTTTTGCTTGTTGTTTTATTTTTTCAATTTCTATTTTTCTATCTATTTCTTCATTTTCTTTTGTTATTCTTATCATAGCAGTTAAACTATCTTCTAGTTTTACCGTTTTTTTTTTCTAACATTAAACTTATATTGTCACCTATTTTCTTATATCTTCTTCCTAGATTAGAAAATATTATCTTTATTTTTAATCCGTCATAATTTTCATATATTTTTTCATCTATTGCGTATTCTTCTTTATTCATTTATAAATTATGTTGTAATTTATATTCTAAGTTATTTATTTGTATTTCTAGATATAAAATAGTCTTTCTTTGTACTATTATAGATTTGTGACAAATTCCTGCAAATATATTACTATTAAGTCTATTTTGCCTATGTTCTAATTCTTGTCTTTTTGCTATGATTATTTCGTTAAGTTTTTGTCTATATTCGTTATTTTTGCTATTCATTGTATTTTTAAATATTGAATATATTTATATTCTATTTTAGATATATTATCTATTAATTGATTTAATTTTTCGTTATCAGTTTTTGTGATATTAAGTTGTTTATATTCCGGATATAATTTGTTTAATTTTCTTCTTATTTTTCTTAATTTTCTACTTGTATGTTTCTTACCGTGTTTCTTATTATCCATAGCATTGTATTCATGAGTTACTTCCTTGTCATTACTTATTCTATATGAATGTGCCTTGCTTATGGTGACTTCAAAGGAGTACTTAGTGTGAGTAGTAGCATGGGATGATACTTGCACATTGCACAAGTATGACTTAGGTTTGTCCTAGATGATGGTGCTTATATGATGATTTGACTTATGAAAGTTTTATGTCTCATATTTATTAGCATTGTGTGAAGATGGAAAGGTAAGTTCACTTTTGGTGACCTTAAGGTGGTACTTTAGTGTGGATGGTGGTATGGGTCGCTATCCATACACTGCACAAAGTATAGCTTGATGGTTACTTGAGGGGAAGGATAAATGTGAATGTAAAAGGTTACGTGTTGATTATGTTCTAATGTGGTTAAATGACTTGTATGTTGGGTATGTTTGAATATATGCCTCTTGTACTTATGTTCATGAAGTTTTTATTAAAATGGCATAAAAGCATAACTTCCAAATAAAATGTCCGTTTTAAGCATGTTTTTGCATGGCTATCATACTTAGTACCTAATTGTGCTAAACCATTCTTTTTCATGTTTTACTACAAGTGTAGGTTCCGGCAAGTGAGTTACTTCTCTCAAGATCAAGAACTAGGATTTGAGATTCTCCAAGACTAAGTGATATGTCCTCATAGATCGAGGACAAGTGTTTAGAAGTTTCACTTTCTTTCATGTAAAAGACTATTGTTAGACTTTTCGATTTTAAAGGGCCATGTCACTACTTATGTTTCAAATGTTGTTTTAGATGAGCATGTTGAGACAATAGACTTTCGCTGGTAACTCGATTGGTAATTTTCTAAGTAGTCCACCAACCCTCACCTCAACTTCAACCATCTTATACTTTAATAATATGAAATAATCTGCCATGAAATTACTCTATCAACATCCTATGCTAGAAGTGTACTAATTGGTTTCCTTCAGAATGGCAAAACATACATATATCTTCAATTAATAAAGCAACCAAGGCCTTACAAAAAATGCCTCAGTAGCAGTCACAAATATATTTATTCTAACAGAGGGGATAAAGGTAAGAACTTTGTTTAACAATAATCTTAGATGATCTAAAAAAGCAACAACAATATACTGTTCATATATATAATATAACACTTCACTAGTAATTCGAACGATCTTCAGAACCATAACTAATAAGAAATAGCCCAGAAACTATTACATATGTGCTTTAACCATATGATCACATATTTTTGGACTCATCATCAGATTCCTCAGTGGAGATATCAGTATCTATGTCAGTAGTTCCAATCGTCGTTGATGCTTCTGAGTTTCTATTTGGGATCACCTCTGCCTCACTGCTCTTCTTGCTTGATTGTTTTGCCTGTAAAAAAATAATACTCTTATCAATCATCAAATTAGTTCCAATGAACAAAGATTTCCAGCATCCTAAGCTAGAAATATATGTGGTCATGAAAGAGGGATTAGGTAGAACAAAATTTATTATTTGTCGTGGAAATACTAGAATTTGAGAAAGATTTTGCTCCTCAAAGCATGAGTTTTCGTAGTTTGTCCGATGAGATTGATATTCCAATCTCTCTAACAGGACCAAGCATGTTGGTGGTACATGAGGTGAAAAATCTAATCACACATTAATTACTTGAACGCTACAATTGAAAATATAATTCATGGTGGATTAACCAAAATTCATAAAGATGGTTGCTATTCATTAGAGTAAGATATAAAAAGGAATTGTTTAAACGATTGGTTGGTTCAAGGGATTAATTGGGCTTATCCCATTATAGATTTTGAGGTTAAACCTATGTCGTATTTGATAGGAAGTATTACCTAAGATCAGTGTTGTTCTATACCAAAATCTTGGTAACACTCATCTCATATAAGAAGTGGGATTGATATAATCCATAGTTTTAAACCAACTGACACCTAAGAATATTATAGGAGTGATAATGGAAGGAAAAAGATCGAGCAAGTGCATATTTAAATTAATGAATAAACCTGTTTCATAGTACTATCAAGAAGATGCAAAATGACTTCTTGCTCCTCTTTGGTAAGACGAGCCCTTAGCCTAGCTAGTATCTTCAAATCACGAAGCCTCAAATGATGCCTAGGGATTCTTGGTTGTCTGCTAGACGAAGCTGGAGATGGAGGCCGCACGGCCAGGCTTCTGGAATTCTGCACATCACCTATTTGGCAATCGGTGAGCATCTGTTAAGTCAGTGTCAGATGTTGCTGCAGAAAAAAGTTGTTTCTCAAGAATTGAAAATCCAATAATAAAACCCTGCTACTGCTGATACTCAGAAAACAGTACAAATACTTTGCTCTGGTAGGTTTCTTTAACCTAATCATCTTTTAAATGACCCTTTGTATGGCCTGCAATGCCCTGGCTTGAAGGAAAGTTTTTTTTTTACAATGGATGCATTATTGTTACTTTCATGATCATCATTTTAGGGAGAAGAGGAAGAGGAGTATATATAAATGAGCTCTAACAAAGTAATTTTCTTTGATTTGGCCTAAAAGAAGTCATTGCGTCTAAAAGATATAACAAAAAGTACACAATTGCAACTCTGTTATTTTGGTTATAACTTTTTCTATTTGACTATAAATAATGGAATTATTAAGTTTCTTTTTGTTTCAATTGATTTTGGCCTAATATGAAAATAAATAGTTGAAATATTTGCTTTTTAAAGGCAATGCCGACTTGTTCCAACTATTGATTATCGTCTTCCTTCACATTAGGTAACTTCTTCAGTAGGTTAAGAAAGCAGGGAAAGTTACAAACTTAAAAAGTATATGTACCAATCAAGTGCTTATAGAATCTTAAGAGTTGATGGTATTTTCTTTAGGCAGAGAGATATGACCAGTCTACTTAGAGTTTATGAACCAGGGAAACCATAATACAACATATAATTAGGATGTGACATATATTGTTTATTCCATACCAATGATTCTTCTTCCTTGTTATATGTAGAATTTTCGTTATCTAAATTACCTTATAAGGGAAGGTCTACAAGTATTGCATTATTTCCTATTTTGTAAAGATATGACACATAAACCTTGAAGTAAATGATATTCCACGTACATGTGCTGCCTTTGGTCCCCAATGGTAACCTACTACAAGAATGGCTGGTAAAATGATAAGACAGTTACAAGAAATATTCCAGCTATATCAGTAATTGTCTCAAATTAGTAATAACAACCCAGATGGATAGGAAAAAAAATGAAACAACTAAGTTGTCAAGGAAGACAGATAAATACTTATTGTTTAAACAACAGTCTATGATACTCATGACAAAGGTGACTATACTTTTTGTCAGGAAGAGGAGACAAGTACCAATTGATAATACACTTCTGAACACTATGTTATGAGAAGTATGAGCCAACTTAGTATCCTACAGAAGGAGAAGTGAGACATTGCAAAACTATAAAATACTAGTTGTTGATCCAGCATAAATCCTCAATCACTAATAATATCAAGTGATTAATTACACTAAGATGAGCTTTCATGCCAGCGTTTAATATTTCTTTCCAATTCTGTAGAGTCTCATATTCCGAAGATTTAGCAGTACAGCTCATGGCTATTAGAAAACAGATTCCCTTTCAAGGTAATGAGAAGTGATTGGTGACAGAAATTTAAATGATCATTTCCTCTCTTTGATCCAACAAGTGAATTTTGCAAAGAAGGAAAGGTAATCCAATTCCATAACTAAAACTGAGACCAACAGATTGGAAATAGTTAAAAAAAATAAAATCATAAACTTTCTTTTTCTGTATTTCTAAAAACAAACAAAATTTTGGTAAAAAGGAAAAATATACATAGTCTTAAGCTTACATGTATTTTCTTGTTAGCTAATTTGTGCCACTTGGCCCCTACGTTCCTTGCTAGAATCCATTTATTAATTTCAACATTACTTATCAAAAAAGCCCAAGCCATACAGAGTAAAACTGAAACACTCCTTTCTAATGGTGTTTGAGTGAAAATATTTTTCAGGAGAACTGAAAATAACAACTTTTTTTTAAAAAAACTAATGCCTTGTAAAATGTACTGTCTAATCATGAAGCAGACAAAGTAGAACAACTCAGCCTAAAATTTGTTTTTGACTAAATTTCTATGTAGATTCTCCATTAGCTCTTCTAGTTGTAGCACAAAAAAGTTCCGATACTGTCTAATCATGAAGCAGACAAAGGAGGTTCAATTTTATCATTCATGTCACTTCTTCAGAATAATTTAATTCCAAGTTCTATGGCCAAGATCGTGGAAAAGAATCTTGAAATGTTTATCATTTTCCAAGCCAGACAGATGAAAACTTGTTTCCACATAAATCTACCCATATCCGATCATGACAGAGACAACTTTCGTTTTTCCTAGGAAGAGAGAAGTATCAATAAAAAATAGTGTACCTAACATTATTGTATGAGACTAATATGAGTCAACTGAGTATTCGACAGAGAGAGAAGTGACATATTGCACATATACTTAATACTAGTTGTGGATCCAGGATGAAGCTAGGCATACATCTTTATCACTAAAGTTTTGTTTGGTTTAGAGATAAATGATTTATAATGTAAGATTTTCCTTTTTCCAAAATAATGATTTCATGTAACACCTCGAAAGTGTAAAAGTTGAAAAGAAAAGAAAATGCAGAAAAATAGAGTGAGGCAAGTTTCTACGACTCCAACCTATGGATCGTAGGTAGTCCTATAGGTCGTAGGAAGGGAGTCGTAGACTTGGAGTTGAGTCTTTGAAAAATTAAAGTTTCTGAAGTTTGATCTACAACTTGATAGGACAACCCATAGGAGTTTTAACGAGCCATAGAAAGTTTGACGGACTGTATGAGATTTCTTGCCTTTCTATATTTTGTTGAGTATATGTATGTAAAGTTTATTTTGTAGGGACTTTATAGGTCTTATACGCCATATCACGTCTAGGATGTACTTTGGGTCTTGACATACTTTGTATTCAGAGCACAAGGTGTTAGAAAAAAAGGTCCTAGGAAGTCTGACATGCCTTGTTGAGTAGGGTCTTGTTCATGAGTGTAAAGCGCGCCACATTTATGAATAGGAGGCTACATAATGTCTCCACTTCTTTCATTACTCTAAAGTTGTGCCATATAGTCTATCTCTACAAAGATCATTCTCCTAAATCATGTTCAATCCTTTTCAAGATATATCCCTTCAAACAACTTATGTGAGAAGGAATACATGGGAGAATGTGGAGCTTGGGGTTCCTCAAATTTCTGTTGAAACTTTGGCTCAACAAGTTAATCATGCTAAATTTTGAGTCATTTTGCAAGTGTTAGCTCAAGCTATGATGGCTAAAGCCACTAGAGGCTAATGCTTCTGTGAACCCAAATGTGGGTATGGTGGTTGAAAGAATAATGTACTTCACTCAGATGAATCCTCTAAAATTCCATTGTTCTAAGGTTGATGAGGATCCTCAAAATTTTATTGATGAGGTTTACAAAATATTATGTATTATGGGGTTGACTACAGTTGAAAATGTGGTGTTTTCCGCTTATGAACTTAAAGGGTGTTGCTCAAGTGTGGTTTGAACAATGGAAAAATGACAGGGTGGTTGATGTGGATCCTCTTGATTGGGAGAAATTCAAAAGAGCTTTTCTTGATCATTTCTTTCTTCTTGAAGTGAGAGAATAGAAAGTGTGTGGGTCCATTAACCTCCAAAAAGGAAATGTGAACATAAATGAGTATGCTTGAAGTTTAATCAATTGGCTAAGTATGCTATTACTATGGTTGTCGACACTAGGGCAAGGATGAGTAAATTTGTGTCAGGTCTGTCCGACTTTGTTGTCATGGAGTGTCATACCGCCATGTTGATCTAGGAAATGGATATCTCTCATTTTATGATACACACCCAACAAATTAAGGAGAAAAAACATAATGAAATGGCAAAAAAGTTCAAGAGGGCAAAGACCAGTTATGGTGACTTTTTCACATTCTAGTTCTAGTGGACATAGGTGTCTCAATTATGGTAAAATTTTTCCAGTCAAGGTTCTTCCAATTCACGAACTTCTAAGTTTAACAAAGATAGGGTGTCTAACCTTAAACCTCATGGAGGTAGTGGTAATAAGTCTTCTATCCCCATTTGGGCAAGGTGTGGTAAGAGTCACTCGAGGAAGTGCTTAGCTGATATGTATGGTTGCTTTTGTTGTTGTAAAAGTGGTCACACGGTGATGGATTTTCCATTACAATCTAACAAGAGTATGGATTGTAGGTATGCTCAGCCTAGTGGTTCAGGCTAGGGTTGTCCAAAAAAATATTGATTATATGCTCTTCAGACTCGACATGACCATGAGGATTATTTTTTGATGTGGTGAATAGTATGTTGAAAGTCTTTAATCTTTATATTTATTGCTTTCTTAATCCCAGTTCTACCTTATCATTTGTTACTCCTTATATGGCCATGATATTTGATTTCCCGAAATCCTTTCTAAACCCGTTTACGTCTCTACCTCATTGGCCTTTCTATTGTGCCTAAGAGAGTCCATATAAATTGTCCTATTTTTGTTTCTCATAGAGTCACTCATGTTGATCTTGTAGAGATAGATATGTTAGATTTTGATGTCATTCTTGCAATGGATTGAATTCATGCATGTTATGCTTCCATAGATTGTAGGACATGTAACACAAAAAATGACTCGCTTCGCCGTGATGTCAGCAAGTTAGGAAGCTCTAAGGTTTTTAATATTTGGTGGAAGGTAGGCTAAAACTCTGCCCCAACCAAGTGAAACTAAGGGTTTGAAAGAGTTCACGATCTGATCTATGGGGTGTTAACTGTCAGAGGACGGCTAAGAATTACCATTAAAATGAGTGATCACTTTTATGGTTCAAAATGAACCTATCGTGTCATGGGAAGGGGGAAAATATGTTCTTAAGGGTCATTTTAGTTTTTGTTTAAAAGCTAGAAAGTTGATTTCTAAGGGTTACATTTATCATCTTGTTCTGGTTAGGGATATAAACCCTGAGCTTCTAATCTTGAGTCAGTTCCGATTGTAAATGAGTTTCTGAAAGTGTTTTTAGATGATTTTCCTTGTATTCCTCATGAGAGGGAAATAGACTTCGATATTGACCTTCTCCTAGACATGCAACCTATCTCTTGACCTCCTTACCATATGACCCCGGTGAAACATAAGGAAGTAAAGGACCAATTAAAGGATTTGTTTGATAAGGGTTTAATTAGACTGGGTATCTCACCATGGGGTGCTCTAGTGTTGTTGTTC